GGAGACGAGTGGGGAGGAGAACAAAAGGAAAGAAAATAAATTTTAAAAACCCAAACAGAAGTAACTCAGTTTGAATTCAGAGATGGAAGGATGTAGTTACATGCCTATTGTTGTTTATCTGTATTATGATACTGCCTGAGTTCTTTAGTGATTGAGGCTTCCACTGTGCCAGGCAGGGTACCAAAAATGATTCCTGCCCACGAAGAGCCTCCATCCTAAATTTAAGGCAGAAGAGCAGCAGAGGATCCAGACAGGCGGAGGAGTGAGATGAGACAGTAAGGCAATATCGATCAGCGATATAACCAGAGGTCTCAGCAAACCTCCTGCTGTAACCACTGCAATGCATCTAGTTTACTGCCATTATAATTGCAATTAATATTTCTTTTTTGCAACACAAGGTTAATAATCTAAGCATATGGGTTACCCACTCTTCCTCTCATTTGTTGTACTGTTTAGCAGTTATAATCTGCAGCAATTTTGTATTATAAAAAACTAATTAACAGCAAGATTTTTTTTCCACTGAACATCATAGGAGTTTTTGCCAGAGACAACAGTGTTGCCATACCTTAATTCCTCAGCAAAGTTTTTATTCTGGACCATGTTCTGAAACTGGTGAGCTGACTTGCCAGAGACAGTGGACTCCCTGTGTTATGTCATCAGGCAAAAGTTTTCATTCAGAACAAGGCAGTGTGAGTTGAAGGTAGAATGTACTTTTCAATCAAGTGTGTGTTAACAAACTTGGTAGAAGATTTTTTTCATTTGTTGTGTTTACGAGTGTAGTATTTCAGGTTATTTAGATAAAATTTAGGAACAAATCAAAAAAGCCAAGATGCAGAGCTTGCAAGAATGGCAAGTATGGAAACGATGCAAAACAACTGCTATAATCCCCTTTCTGCCACCTCTGAAGCCAATAAAACATCTTTCACCTGCTTTTGTTTCACACCATTAAAGTCTTGCATTTTCTTTTTTTTCTTTTCCTTTTCTTTCTGATTTACACTGGTATAACTGAGAGGAGAGTTCCAGTATAACACACCTAGGTTTTGTTGTTGTTGCACAAAAGTGGCAACTCCGTGTTGAAAAAGACTAAGAGACCCACCATGACCATCCTGCTCTTGATGCTTCAGATATTTTGGTCCAGGATGTAAACTTTTATTAAATAATACAATACTTGACAAGTGAAGTCTATGTTGTCCTTCTTTCATTTAGCAATATAGACATGGCTATTAAAATAAAAAAAAAAAAAGAAGTTGTACTTGATGAGTTTTTCTTTTAAGAAGCTATTATACTACTGTAATATGGCCACCATGCTGGCAGACTTTTGGCAGGTTTCAAATAAACATGCCAGAAATAATTTTGTTGACAGCGTCTTGGATTGGAGTACATCCAGCCTTCATCCGTAACATGTCAGTACAGTGATTCTTTCACAGGCAGGAAAGTATGTCATCACAGATCTGTATTTGAGAGTCTTAAAATACTGTAGATGTCTGGATTTATGGCTTCAAAGTCAACTTCACAGGTGGGTAGCATTATTTTTCAATCATCAATGAAGATGAAAGTGATAACATTTGCTGGTTTTAATATGCAGCATCAATGAAGTGTGCTTATGTTAAAACCTGTGATAACATCTGTTTTACTTTCCTAATCCAAAAACAATTAAGGTTTTACGTAAGAGAGAGAAGGCGGTGGAAAAGAAACAGCAAAGGAAAAAAGGAGAAAAACCAGACTGAAGGGTTTTAGCTTGCTTGCAGAGGTCATGCAGGCATTGTGTTAGTTCTTCATGAGAAGCAGAAAGCAGGTGACTTCTACCTATGAGTGACTTTGTTTTAATGTTTCCTTTTATGTTGTTCTTTGTAGAATCATTTTGTCAGAGCAGAAATTGTGCGTGCTTGGTTTATTTCCATTTGTGTAATGTGCTCAGATTTCAGTATTAAAACCAAAGTGATATCTTTAGGGTTAACAGCCATGGTTCACGAAGGGTATCTACTTGCTGGTTGGTTTAGGTCTCTGTGTTTACATCTGCAAGCTGAGATCTTTCAGGAATGGGCAAATTATAGCTTTGTACTGTGCATTGGAAACAAACCTTTTGAGGTGCCACTTCAAGAACGTTATTTATGTGCTTGAATCTGTACCTGCCTAGGGCTTAATTAAACACCTTTCTGGCTTCAGTCCCTAGCACAGAGGCTTTCCTAAGCAATGTGAATAGGCAGCTGATGTCTGCTTGAGGGAGCTCCTGTTGAAGGGTGGGAGTTTGCGGCCAAGGGCATGGGGTATCATGGACTGGTGATGAGGCTGTAATATCCTGGAAGCAAAAAATGGTCACAGTGACACAGCAACATCCCTCTGGAATTAACAGAAATACAGATAGGAAGGATCTAAGGTGATGTTGCTATCATGCATATGGTACGATGTGTGTGCAGCAGTTTTACTGTAAGTGATGCCTTCGAAAGAGAATTCAAATGACTGAGAAGAACAAAAGAGTTGCTTTCCAAACCTGTGCTGAATAAAGCTGTTTACCTTTTTTGAAATGTTATTTATCTCTTCTTGCTTTTTATGAGGGGACATTTCCTGGTAGGATTTTGAAAATAAGTGAAAATATTCCTTTCTGCTTCTTTGCAGTGTATGAAACCCTAACGTTTTGTTTATGAATAGTTTTCCTCTTGATACACTAGAAACTCCCAGTCTTTTTTGTTGTGATTTTGCTCAAATATTGATTGGATGACCGAAGAATTAATGGGATTATGATGTGATAATGGATTCAGTTGACGTATTGATATCCTGAAAGCTTAACCACCTGTGTGGATTTCTGTAACACTGGGACTTATGGGTGGGGAAACCTCACTTAATGCAAGGTTTTATTAAGCTTTTGAACTGCATCTGGGTTTGTAGATCTAAGTCAAGTCTGTGAACTATTTTTTCAATTTTAAACTTCTGACCATTTGAGTGGGGGAGGGTTGTTGGATTATTTTCAGGAATGTGACTGTTGCCATCAGTCCTATAATGCTGTCTGCATCTTACCTCTGTCCTTAGACACTGTTAGGGCTTGGCTGGGTACAAGCACTGTGGTTTCTCAGCTACTTCTCCCCAGTTCTCATGTCATCCCTTTAGGTCCCACTGTGCCCTGGTGTGAAATGAAGAATATTTCTGCCGCTTACAAAGAAGCCCTGGATTCTTTTCCTAGCTTTATTTCTTAATTCGTGTGTGACCCTGGGAAAGTCACAGACTCTCTTCTGAGCCTGTTTGCATCACTTGAAAAATGGAGACTGTAGCAGTTTCCTAAAAAAGGTGTTAGAAGACTAAATTAATTAACATTTTTATTCATGCTTAGGGTGAAGATGCTATAAAAATGCAAGTATTTATATTATTTCTGTTTGGTTGTTGGCAAAATTGCATTTCTCAAGGCTCCTGACCTACTTTTCAGATTTTTCTCCAGTAAGAATAATAAACTATAAATTTATTCCTTCTAATTATTTTCCATTTCAAATGGAAAACCAAGTGCAAATGAGGGGAAGGCAAGGAGGAGAGGGAGTGCTAACCTCTACCCCTCTTTGACAGAAGGAAGAGAATCATCGTGTCTTTTCCAGAACCAGAATAAATAATGAAATACAGATGCTACCTCAGATGTTTAATGCATCAAACCTGGCTTTCCATCGCACATTTATAGCCTTTGTAATGGATAGATCCCCAAACATATAGGAGGAGAGTCTCAACATTATCTTTTTCTATGAAAAGAATTCTTGATATGCAAAAAGTTGAAAAATATTTTCCAGAGTTTTCTGAAATCAAATCTGTGAGGTTTGCCTGACCTCCCTGTTCAGGTCATGTTGCTGCGTATAAGAAAAAGTTACAGTAAGTGAAACAAACTCTCTGAATTACAGAAGGACTTAATCTGTTATAAATCTTTTTGTTTTCCCCCAAAAAATGAAGAAGAAAAAAAAGAAGAATCTTTTAAAGAAGTACCAGCAGGTCTGTCTTAGACCCACCGTCCCTCAAAATAAAGGAAATGAGTCAAAAATTCTGAATTGGTGAGGTCGACAACTAGGAGGAGCATCCAGAGTTGTTCTGGCTGTGAGGTCAGACCCCTTCAGTGAATTCAATCTTCCAGGAAAGTGGAGTGCACTGATATTTCATACAGTTCCTGGGGATACTTCAATGCATGCATGAAATCACATTTAATGCACAGTGCTAAGGAGAATCCAACAAAAAGCATGGAAGGGATAAAGTGCAATAAATATTTAAGATCTTGTGAATGCGAACACAGCACTTCATAAAAACCTCAGTCTCGAGAGCAGGGGTGCTCTATACGTCGTAGACAGAACATATGGTACAACTACAGTGAAGTCAAAGCTAATCAGTGAATAGTGATGGAGCTTTTGTTCTAAAGTTTTAAGGACGTGATTAAATTTAATGTTTATGTAAGACGTGAAGCTTTGTCTTCATGTCCTTAGACCTACCAACCTAGGAATGCATGCCAGGTGGCCTGAGGAGATGTGATGTTTTCTGGGAAGGCAAAAAAGTTCACCATGGGGGATATCCTTATTGATTTTTATCTCCAAACATGCCCCTGTGAATTATTTATCTTCCTGTATTCTTGTCTGCTGTCTTATTATAAAAGTTCCTTGAAAATTACTGTCTGTAAAGCTCTTTATTCCCAGACTTAATAAGAGTTGGTACGAAATTGGCTTTTGATAAGTAAGTTTGGATGAGTGTTGGTGTGGGTGGCTGGTGCCCATATGTGAGGAGGTGATGGGGAATGTGGATTTCACTACCTAGCATCCTATAGGTGCATTGCATTTATTCATTATATATTATGACTTGGGATGGATTTAGCTAATACCACAATGTATTATAACAGCATGAATTATATTTGGCTCACGGGCTTCACTCACCGTAGTCGCGGGGTGCATAGTGTAGTTCTGTGTACACACGTTGCTAGGATTCTGCTGTTTGTTTCCTTGTCTAAGTGCCTTTTCTAAATGTTCACTTTCCTTTGATGTTTCTAGGAGCTGGTGGGGAGTAATCCTCCTCAAAGAAACTGGAAAGGAATTGCAATTGCCTTACTTGTTATTCTCGTTATCTGCTCTCTGATTGTCACCTCTGTTATACTCCTGACACCAGGTATTTATAACCTTTAACTCACTTCCATTCTGTTTTTCTTTTGTAATTTTACACTTCCAAGGGTAAAGGTATTGCAAACTGACTGCAAAGTCAAAATGAAAGGAATCATCCTTCCTGTTCTTTATCTTGATGTGAGTTCAAGGCCATTCTTAGGTAGATTGTTTTAGAGTTTTACATTTCAATTCAAAGACCAAGGCTGCTGAGCTGGAGGTACAAGTGTGAAACTTGGTTGCCTAGACATAGGTGGGGAGTGTCATTTTAGATGTGCCAGGGTATGAGAGACATCTACATAGGGCAGTCAGGTAGGACACAGAACTTCTTGAAGTTCATGCCCACATGGAGGAGCAGCCTGGTTGGGTGACAACCTAGACCATCTGAAATGGCAGTAGATGGCTATGCATAGGCACCTAAATCCCATCCCGTTCAGCTGGATTGATTTTTGGATCAGAACATAGTGTTTCAGCTTTACAGAGCAATTCCAGATAACTATGTGCCAGATAGCACTTAACCACAGCAAATTAGTAACTTCCCAATAAGGGATTTTTTAAGTTAATCCCCTTACCAAGTTTCAGCAAAGTTCTGTGCACGTAACCTCCGTAAATTGCTTCTCTTACAGTAGCTACTGAGGTTGTAGGCTTGAATTTTAATGTGGTATCATTATGATTATTGATTATTACGTATTTATACAGCCCTGTAAATTTCCATGCCTACTTATGGAGTAGAAATAATGCACTTTCGCGGCTCTGAGAAGATTGTGATCTGAATACGGAAAGACAAAGTAATGAGAGACAAGACATAGAAAAGAGAATTCAGTGTCAGAAAGCTTGAGGAGCTACAAAACACAGGAGAAGGCAGGTCCCCTGCAGAGGGATGTAGAGGAGAAGGAAGAAAAGGGTCTCCTTGGATGAGTACATGCGAGTGATTCTAGGGGACAGCAGGACAGAAAGCACAGAGCTGAGGAGGGGAATGGAGGAAAGGGAGAAATGAAACCCTAGGAAATGGAAGAGCACAGGATGGTGAAGTGGAAAAACGAGATGGAAGTTGTGTGACAGAAATTTCTAGCTCGTAGCGTGTGAACTGATGTGCAGTTCAGCAGATCTGGGCCATCTTCCCTGACACAATTCTTATCCCACAGTCCTGCTGTATGGTAGACTGGAACCAGTGATAAATCAAGAAATACAGGACTGTGCTGAGTTAATCTGAAAATGAGTGAAACAATCACTACGTTATCCTTTTGGTTATTTATCATCATGCCGTGTTCAGTTTATTTCGTGCTATCTTGAAGTTTTCAGTGTAAATGTAAGTAGCACATGGTTATGCCAGAGTAATTAAGTAATTGAGTTAATTAAAGTTAAACTCAATTAAGGATCATTTTTTAAATTACTTTGGCTAGGGTTCAGATTTAACACCTTTGGACAGTGCAGTTCATCTCTGAGATGTTTTGCAACATGGTCTATGTACTGTACTCACATCAGGATTTGCAGTGAAAAATACCATCCCTTACTCATTAGGTATGGAAATGTCACCTTCTATTTTACAGAAGTGCAGTCCCAGACTTTTCAAAAACACACACTGAAGCCTAGATTCCTAAACCCATACCTGTGGGCTTCAAGAAGCTGTCAGCGGCTCACACTACATAGATCAGACCATAGGTGCTGCTTCCATCGAAGAGCAGGATTCCATATAGATGAATACATGGGGAGAAGCATAAACGTACCTCTACAGTCCTAAATAGAGTTGAAGTCACAAGTCTTTCCTTTTACAAGGCCAACTGTAATAATGATTTCTTTATAAGGATGGTCAGAATGATACCTGGTGAGGATTTAGCAGCTCTGGTTTCAATTCTGAGCTCCATTATAGACCTCATTTAGGACTTCTCCTGAACCCTACTCCTACTTCTCAATAGAGAAAATCACACATAAAATCCACTAATGACTATTATGACTATAGATACTGCAGTGTCGTTTTCCAGGTAAGTGCCTAGACAGAAAAGATGTACTGAGTATTGAGATCCTGTAGTTAATGTTCTCTAATTTAGGAAGACACAAGTAAATATGGGTTATTATGATTACCTTCTATTTTACATAGTATGAAGTAGGAATGTGGAATACCTACATTCAATTATAAGTAAAATTCACAAGTGTATTTGTGTATTTATATTTGTATATGCATCCACAAAGACATTCTCTGTTTGGGATATGTGTGCATACACATGTATACACATAAATCACACAGTTATTAGTATGTACTTAACACCGTTGAGAGAGTCTCTGTGCTTAAAACTTAGGAATATGCAAAGTCATTTTCTATGCTAAATTTTCCATTTGTGTTTTTTGAGATTTCTAATTGCCTGATTTGCTGGTAAACTGGATTTGGGTTTGTTTTATCCCTGCTGGTGTTTCAGAACTGTCCCCTACATGCAAATACAAAATCTCTGAGCTCAGTATTGCTTCTGGGTTTGTTATGGATCCAGACTGCTTCATGGTGAGACTCTGCCAAGGGTAAAATAGATAGCTTAGGTTGCTGCTGTGGCTTGGCAGCAGCTGAGTTCAGTCTTCTTTTGGGCCGCTGGCCCTGGAGCTTGTTACGAGGACGCGTTATGGCAGAGGGTAACAGGAGGCTCATTTCACAGGCATTTCCTACCAGCCAGCGCTAAGTGAGACATTGAGGCTGGTTTGACAAATGAAAAAAGTATTACACTGCTAATCCTGACTAGGGATAGCATGTTCCAACAAGGTAAGAGTGAGGAAGATGGAGGAGCCTGTCCAAAAGGAGAAGCAGTCTGCATTTCCCTGCCATAAAATAGTTCACTGGAAGAAGAATTGTTTATCCTTTGGTAGCCAAACTGAAAAATAAGTGATGGATATTTGAACAAAAGGCGAGGAAGGGACAGGTGGACAGCAAAGGAAGGAGGTGAAGCAGTTTTGTGGATATTCATGGGGAGCTGTTGCCAAGTGTGAGAGTGACATCAGGGAAAGAAAAAAACAAAAAAAACCCTCTTCACTGGAAATGTCTCAAGTGGCGTGATGCCGTCTGGCACGGGCAGAGCACGGTGCTTGAGAATACTCCAAATATTTTTAAGTCTTCGTTCTGATGATAATGTTGGAGTCCAGCCTGACGCTGTCATAGTAGCACAAATAACATTTGCATTTTACCTCTGAATTCCTTACTTGTTCCCATCTATCTTGGCCCTCTCCCTGTCTGGGAAACCATTGTTCTCTAAGTATTTTGCTGTTGATTTGAAGGCCTGTTTTGCAGTGCAATACCAAGGCATGCAATGCAGAAAGGCTCTAAACCCAGTGCTGAACATGATGCAATGCCTACAGAGGGTAATTTGGGACATATATGGGAGACTGCAGCATGCAGTCTTGTAGTCAGTGTTCAGACAAAGAAAAGTGGTTAACTGGACCTATACTTTGCATCATGATGGTGGTATTTCCCAATACTAAGAAAGTTGGGGTAGTCTCCTGGGTAGTCTCCTGCAAAACCAAGTGTGAGTGGTAGAGCGGGGAATGGGGAAGGTTTGCTTAGCAGAACAGATAATGATTAAGGTGTTTAATAATTGAGGAAAAAGGGGATTTATATATCTCTTCAAGATTTTTTTGCAAATCAGCCCCAACCTTTAAAGGAGGTTTTAACTCTGGATTCAGCTGCGGAAAGGCTGAAATCCCTACTGGTCTGGGTTTCTCAGAGGCAGGTCAGTCACCCTGCTTTGAGATTAGCGCATAAACTGGGAACAGTGCTCTTTGCATTCAGCAGACATTGTAATTACAGTAGCAATGCTTTATTGCTAGGTAGTGCTTAGGCCTTATTTTATAAAATCCTAATAAAATTTCAACATTTCTATGATTTGTTTATCCTTTGGTATTCTAGAACAACATTCTCGAAAGCAGAAACTAGTGAAAGTTTGCATTTAATTACACTATAGTACACCGCATGCACACAAGTGCCTACGCTGAGGTTCTCTGATTTCGTGTGTGTGAGTCTTGCCATTCCACCCACCTTTGAAAAATGTGAAGCTATTTATGCAAATGATAAAATGGTGGGACTGAGCGTTTCCTAATTGGCAGTTGCTCACTTGTCGCAGCATATGGCACCTGTATGGGTCCTGTCCTAGCAGTGTTGTTTGTGTATTTACATAAAGACATGCAAAACTTTATAGATATGTGTGTGTGTGTGTGCACACACACACATCTCAGAGCTGAAGAGAGGACTCAATCCTACAGAAATTTTGATTAAAAAAACCTTCATCAAATTCCATTAGACATTTTACTTAGGAAGAGGCTGCTTTCAGGTCCCATCTGTTTGGAAGTAGAGGCAAACAAGGACTTTTTGCACATCTCCTCCTGATATTTAAAGCTTTCTGGAGATATACATCATGTTTGCTCCTTTCAAATCTGACCTTTAGCTGAAAAAAAGAAAGTACGCCCAACTCCGTATTAAAATTTTTACAAAATTCATTGGAAAGATTTTTCAGAGAAGGTACTGAGGTAGTCAATGCATAGCATTAATTGACAGCATGCTGTCAGACAGCCGGATGCATTGCCTAGAAAGGTTTTTATGACTTTTGCTAGTGTGGAAGGGCAAGGAAATAACCTGTGACCAGCTGTGCAAGAGTGTAATTTGAATTATTATATATAAATGTGGATTATACACCATTAAAAAAAAGTAGGATTTTACAAAAGGCAGAAAGGCTGCCTGTTTGCCTTGTCTGGCCACTGCATTGTGGGTACAGAGAGGTTGTCTGGGGGAAAAGAGGGATTAGGTCTGCCTGGGGATCAAGCAGGTATGCTGAGGTGGGAAGGGAGCTCCTGGTGTGCTGGCTACCAAGGAGTGGACATTCACACACACACTCACCCACGTGAGTGCACAATAGGCCAGAAAGTGTGTGAGAAAAGCATCTGACACTGACCTGTAGCTTAGCCCCAGGGATGACGGCAAGAAAACTGGGCACCCAAAGGTGACTGAAACCTTCTGACGCATCAAGCAGCCTCTGTGCATTGCTGGCGTTGAGAGGAGGCTTGAAAGAAAGGATTGGTACTGCAGAAGAAAAACAGGCAGGGATGTCAGCTCATAGCCCTTTTCTGTTTGAGTGTTCTGGGTTTCTGGAGGATCTTTGTTCTGTTTGTGTTCTGGAGAACAAGGGTTTATCAGTTCAGCCCATATCCCTTTGGGGGTGCTGACTTCAAGGATGAGGTGCAGACAGATGAACCCAAAAGGTCTGATCAATGCAGTGTTCCCATCATGCCTTTAACGTTGAATCAAAAATAAAACAGACATTGTTTCACTTGGTTCTCTCAGCATATAGCTTTGCTGTTTGGATGGTGGGTTTCTGGCTTGACACTCAAATCACAAGTCCTTGTGCCACCTGCACTGCTACCGTGCTGCTGAGCTGTGAGGCCCTGGTTGGCAGATGCCATCTGGGTCTGCTGGGGACAGGGGACATGAGTGCAAAAGAGGTGGTGGCAGATGCTTGATCCTCTCCTTCCATAAACCTAAGGAGGCCTCCAGGTCTTTGCAGTTGGGTGTGGACAATTTAAGGCATGCTCAGAGAGTGCTGCTCAGGACAGGGTGGGCTACCTGAGATCCCACAATTGCATTTCTTTCACCATAAATGTCTCATTGAGGCCAGAGGAATGGAGTAGGCATTCTTAATGAGTGCTCTGATTTACCTATGTGGTAGATGAAAGGTCAGTGAATCTGAATTTTTTACTAAAAAAACATTGATTGCTTGATTATTTCGTTATTTGTTTTCTCCCCAGCTCTATGGCTCAGATCAATGTTGTCCATGGTTCAGTGTAGGACCTATTGCAGTTATTACAGCCCACTGTGGGAAACAGTAAGGGAATCTCAACAACGTCCCTTAGGGAGGCTGGTGGGTGTGCATGCTTCAGTTGCTACCTCTCCCTCTTCCTGCTGTCCCTTACAAGGAGTTTGAAGTGCCATGAAGGTATAGAGGTGATGCTGCTCCCAGACTGGCTGTCTCCATCCTGTACAGAAAGAGGGAATGCGAAGGGCTTCCCGCCATGCCCCTTCCCAAATCTCCACCACAGAGGTTTGCTTGTGCCTGTCCTTATGCCGTCATGGTGGGGAAGAGGGTGTCTGTGTTCCTCAGGGCGGCATCTGGGAAGTGATGCCTGAAACAGCTGTAAGCCCAAGGCTGTATGTGGGCTCTGACCTCCTGTTCTGCACTGCCTGATCTCCCCAAGTATCCAATGCGATGACCTCGCATCATGGTGGGAACTAACTGGAACAGTTTCCTGGAGTTCCTCTAGCCTATATTTTCCATTTGAATAAATAAAATTATGCAGAAGAACTTGGCATAATGCTGTCACATAGAGGGATTTGGCTGAGGACTTGTATTAATGTGTCTTGGTATTTGGAAGCCACATTGAGCAGTGTGATTGAAACCTCAGTCAGACTTGGAAAAAATATAAAAATTGAAGAATACCATTTAATTTGGTAAAAATGATAGTTTGTATTGAAACACCTTTTAGTGGAACAAAACATTGTTCATAGGTAATTTTCAGTGGTCTCAGGTAGCTCAGGGACTTCAATTTAGTATAGTAAAGAAGACTTTTTTGCTCTAATAAATGGCTTTGGAGAGTCTGATTCCAGTGTTGAAAAACACATGATGAGTGTGTTCAGTGTAAGAAGTTTAGTACTAAACAATGTTAAAGATAGCTAAGGCTGCATGATACCAATAGACCTCAGGCATGAGGATGCTGTAGTGAGGAGAGGTCGTGAAGACCACATCCCTGCTGTGGAAATACTCAGAATGTGGCCTCACGTGTTCCTTTAAAGAGCAAATGTGTTTAAAGTTGACTGAAAGCCCCCTGCTTTGGCAGTGGGGTTGGACTAGAAGATCTCCAAAGGTCCCTTCCAACCCTGACAATTCTGTGATTCTGTGAAAAGTTTCCATGAAAATATTTTTTCAACAAAAATTTGAATGTTAGAAACAAATTATTCGTAGAAGGTCACTGCTTGTCATAAAAAATTACTTTTTGGGGAAAAAAAGAAAGGAAGGAATATATTCATCAAAATTGTTGGCTTTAGTTTTTCTCTAAAAATTTCAGCTTTGAGAAAATTAAAATATGTTTTCATATTAACTAAGTACCCACTGTAAAGTTCTGTGATGTAATACATATACTCTTCATCTGTGAGACCCAAGAATCCATTGATTTAATGTAAACATTTCAGTTAGAGGCCCCGGAGCCTCTGTGGTGTGTTTATGAGAATTGTTACATAGTGGAGAGGTGGTGATAAAAATGAGAAGGTGTATTTTTGGCACAGGAGAGGATGCTGGCTGCGGCAAAATTCAAGTGGTTAAATTTGTGCCTTGGTATATACCTTGCTGAACATGAGCCAGCAGTATGCCTAGGTGGCCAAGAAGGCCAACGGCATCCTGGCTTGTATCAGAAATATTGTGGCCAGCAGGACCAGAGAAGTGATTGTCCCCCTGTACTCAGCACTGGCGACGCCGCACCTCGAGTGCTGTGTACAGTTCTGGGCCCCTCACCACAAGACAGACCTTGAGGTGCTAGAGCAAGTCCAGAGAAGGGCAACGAAGGTGGTGAAGGGTCTGGAGCACAAGTCTGATGGGGAGTGGCTGAGGGAGCTGGGGGTGTTTAGTCTGGAGAAGAGGAGGCTGAGGGGAGACCTGATTGCTCTACAATGACCTGAAAGGAGGTTGTAGCCAAGTGGGGGTCGACCTCTTCTCCCAAGTAACCAGCGATAGGACAAGAGGAAATGGCCTCAAGTTGTGCCAGGGGTGTTTTAGGTTGGATATTAGGAAAAATTTCTTCACGGAAAGGATTGGCAAGCATTGGAACAGGCTGCCCAGGGAAGCGGTTGACTCACCACCCCTGGAGGCATTTAAAAGGTGTGTAGATGTGGTGCTTAGGGACATGGTTGAGCGGTGGACTTGGTCATGCTAGGTTTATGGTTGGACTTGATGATCTTAAAGGTCCTTTCCAGCCTAAACGATTCTATGATTCTATGGTTTTATTCAGTTGGACTCCTGTGTGTTTAGTCTTGGTGACAGCCTAGATGAGACAGATTTCCTTGTAACAATAATATATATCCAGAAAGAAACCAGTTTTGCATTTTCTTCAGATTGTGCTTTGTGTCAGAAATCTGTTGGCAATCTCTCACTCAATCATGAGAAATGTGGAGGGGACTGTATGAACAACAATGGAGGAAGATGTACAGCAAGTATTTCTTTGTGGGGAAAGCAGAGTGCTACATAGTAGAGTTAGGAAGAATGAACTAAATGAAGGACATTGTTTATTACAAGTTGATCTTACACCGTCTTAAAAGGGCAGTCTGGTTCTTCAATGTAAAAGCTGTCCAGATTTCCATGTTTGCAAATGAAACTGTATATTCTTTCACTAAAAATGAAAATTAGTGTGTTCCAGCTATGCAACACCTAAGGACTTAGGGTTATGTCTCACAGATTTTTAAAAATATTCTGCAGTCAAACGTCTGATTCCCATGGAAAATCTTTCATGAATTCCTGGATTAATCTGTATGAGCCCTTACAAGGCTAAATACCTTTCCAACTGTGGTTCTGCGTGACGGTTTTTAAGGAAATAAAAATATAAGCTATAAAAAACTTGGTCATTTTTAAAAATTTAACTAATAATTTCAGAATAATCTTAGTGTTAAGTAGCTTTAAATATTCTTCAGAATAGTTAGCATTATATAGCAGTATGATGTCTATAGGTGTGTTTTCGTGACTTTGAAAATGTTTTTTGATCAAGTTATGTCAAAAATGTGTGTTTGGAACCATATCTTGGCCTTTTTGTAGTTGCTGAGTCCAGACATAAATAACCAGGAGATTTCTGTTTGTGAACCACTAGATGGTCCTTTTGTAACACTGACAATGAGAAGGGGCTTATGTGGGATAGAAAGTTTAAGGTGGACCATTTCTGAATGAGATATAGTACTATTCACAGTTGCTGTGCTTTCAAGATACATTTCAAAGTTGAAGTAATGGCAGTTTGTTTTCAAATGTTTTACAGTTGAAGATAACAGCCTGTCTCAGAAGAAGAAGATAACAGTGGAAGATCTCTTCAGTGATGATTTCAAAATTCATGACCCAGAGGCTAAATGGATAACTGGTGAGTGAGGCATGAATGTGTCGCAGTGTCTTTGCTTTGCTTGCTCTCTCTCTGGCTATCTCTTTTTTATTTCCTTCTTTTTTGCTCCTGTTCTTTATTTTGCTCCTGAAATTACAGAATCAAGGAGTGGTTGAGGTTGGAAGGAGATCATCTTGTCCAACTCCCTGCTCAAGCAAGGGCAGCTAGAACTGACTGCCCAGAGCCATGCCCAAAAATTCAATCCTCAAATTCCTATTCCAGCTTTCCTCCTGATTAATATGCAAACATCACTGCTCTGTTATTATAATTTTTTACTTAGGGCTCTACAGTGGGCTCATAGCTAGGCATTGAAAACTACAGCCTTTGTCCCAAAGAGCTTCCAGCATTAAGTAGGTGATGTAGCACACGGTTGGAAGAAGTGGTTGGAGCACTATCAGTCATTATTTCACCATAAACAAAACTCAGGTTTATATTTCCTCATTGAAACATTTTTTTCTGGCACAGAGGTAAAGCATTGCTAAGCAACAGGCAAACAGTGGTCCAGCAGCAGCTGGGCTGATGCTTGCACACAAGCCATGTGCTCTTTTTATACTCTGCTGCCTTACATTTTCTCATCACGGGAAAACCAAATAGTACTTGAATTAATGCATGTAGTATTTGCTGGAGTAGCGTTGTTTTGGGGGACGTAGATTCCAGCTCTCTCTGGAAATTGCTGCAGTTGGAACAAGCTTTGGCGAGAATAAAATGATTTGTGGTATGTAGGTTCCAGTCCAATTCCTATTATCACTGAAGTTATTAGTTTTTCTTTTGAATTCAGCGGGGAACTGGATCTAATCCTTCTTCGTGTTTGGTTTTCCTTGTCTGTTATGCCCATTGGGAACAATTTTAATACCTGTAATGAAAAGAGAGAGTGTTAAAGGGTAGTGCTGGATTAACACGTTCCCCAACTGCCCTCAGCACAGCTGTCTCCAACTTCTCCCACCAATTCCACTACAGGGGAAAGCGGTTGCAGATGATACACACCTTCACAAACACACCTGCCGATGGGTAGGAACACTTTTTCAGGCTGCATACTCTGGGGGAATGGTGCTCCCCATAACCACTCTCTGGGAATAATGATAATGGAAATATTAGCTGCATTGCAGTTCAGGATTATTTCTCTAGCATCCTTTTTTTGGCACTGATATTTCTAATCGCCCTAATGAAGGAAGAGGTGTTTTACCAAGACCTTTACTGCTGTTTTCTTTATTTGCTAGAGTACAAGGGAATGATGATGCCTTAAATAAACTTTTGCAGGAGTAGAGAATGAAGTATTGCCATAGAGCTAGGTATAATATCCCTTCTCTGATGAGTATGGCTTTACATGGACGTAAGGAGTATATTCCACAAAACTGCAGTCTTCTGTGAAAAAACAGTATTTCCTGTGCTTTTCCAATTATGGTCACATGCTGGTGCCATATAAACTTCTATGAGGACTCCAGTCTTGCATGTTTTAAAATCCATCTCCATCCTCCTGTGTACTCTCACTGACTCCAGTGCAATTTAACATCAATCTTGCCTGATCTGAAATTATTAAAATATTGTTTCTGTAAAGGACAAAGCACGAAGTAGTATTGTGCAAACATGCATAGATATTTTACAAGGACTTGTTCTGTTACTGTGCTACTAATACCACTGATACTGATTTTAATATGTCTAGAGAAATTTTATGAAGTCAATAGATATCCTGTAGATATACCCAAGGGTGTCTTCGCGTTTAAGGGCAAGATACTAATCTGCAATGTCATTCGTCCAAGGACCCAAAGCCATTTTACAACATTAATTACTTTTCTGCATTATAGTTGCTTTTCACAACTTTCTCTAGCTGGCTAAGTGGTGAAATCCCATTAAGATCCCTGATAAGCAAGATGAAAGACCAGTAGCCTGATTCCCAAGCACACATTACTATTTGTCTGTTATTCTCAGTTTTTAGAATGTAAATTAAAGACTCTGAAAATGCCAAAGCCAAACTAATAAAACTTAGTATAACAAGACTGCTTTAGCAGAAAAATCTCATGTTTAAAAATTGCACATTTCAAATTGCATGTCACCTCACAAAATGGGTTGATATTTTGTGGGGAATCTGCACAATTGTTAAAATATAAATAGCTGTTGTGTATCCTTCTTCCCCTTCTCCTGTTAATTGTATAGCAAAATATTGCGGTCATTCAGAGATCTGCAAAATTCAGTCCTCTTGGCTCTTCAAAACTCTGTTTCCTTCCTTTCCCTCTTCATTATTGCAGAAGATGGAGTTTGGTGGCCTCACCAAAGAAGAGGCATCCTGCATGTTTAGGAGTATTTGAATCATCTGAGGGATTTGTTCCCAAAATAGTTCAGTCCGTGTTCTTCTCAGTAAGCGAGGGGCTGATTCAAACCCTCTGAAGGAGCAAGGTCTTTCCTTTGACTTCAATGAGTCTTAGAGCAAGTATTAAAATTTTTTTAAAAAAAGTATTTCTGTTCAGGGTGGTGCTTAAAAATAAGCTGAAAGCTCACTGAAATTGATGGGATGAGCTGATGTTTTAAGTATTTTCTTGATTCTCAGTGGGCAAGTAGAAGAATAACGTATTTCTGATTGATAGCTTTGTTATTCCATTGATTTTAAAGGAGCTAGGGAGGAAGGAAAAAAAAATAAGAGAACCAGTCTCAAAGCTGAAATAACTACACTTTTATTGCGAAGGTTACAGGCTTTTTCTAAGCTTTCAATGACAACTTGTGGCTGGTTTGTGGATATGTTTGCATCTTTTTTATTGGAATTACGATTAAATTTACTTGCAGGAAGTGAGAGATGTGCCAAAGATGGAACTTTGAACCTTTTACAATTTCTCTGTTGCCACTGTAATTTCAAATTCATTTGCATTTCTATCCAGTGGTTTAGCGAAAGGAAAGAATATTTTGTTTAATTAGCTGCTGTCTTCTACTGCCCTGACCATTGTCGCCATTGACTGTTCCAGAGCTTATTTCTAATTTCACTTCCAGGGACTCCTATCGCTTAGATTTGCCCTGTAGTGTAAATAAACATTGGATTTATTGTGAAGGTTTCACTTTTCAGGACAACATGGTATATAGTAGTACAGTATAGCAGATATGGTATACTATAGTAGGTATAAAGCAGTATAGAACGTTTGAGATTGTGCTAATGATCAAATGGCATCTCCCTGCCCCGCAATTCAAGTGCAAAGAATTTGAGCTGCATCTCTGTTCCATCCCTATCCATCCCATGCCTTCTCCTGCGCTCTTCTGCTCATCGCTTAGTGCATCGCACCCCGCGCCGTTCTATTACCATCCTCAGTTGTGAACTTCCCTTTACTGTACAACTATTATTATGTTGTCCATATGCTAAGCATCCATATGAGCTCCAATTAGCAGCTCATTTCATACTGTGTATCTTAAATGTTGTATTTGGACTTTACTCGTTTGCATATCCTCCTCCATACACTGTCAGGAGTGTCCTGTGCCGGCCTTTTGTTAGCCCTCTTGCAGATGACAGATGGCCCGCTCGTTAGTCTAGTCTCTAACTGCTTATCATTTCTGCTCTCAAGCTCCACATTACTCTGTAATTAGGCTTCACAATTACTGAGTTTTTCCTATAATTCCTCTCACACAGGATTTTAGCTCAGGTTTCTGAAAAGCTCAATGGGATACTGCAATGTTCCTGTAATGGTGGACAAAAACCGAGACAAAGAAAGGTGCTGGCATTTCGTGCTGAAGAGCAGCTCAGTCGTCTGATTTCTTCTGAAAACAATAATTTGTAGTCATTACCTAGACCTGGCCTGAGAATCCAGTTGGGTTATGAGTGCTGTCTTTGTGACCCTATGGAGCTGCAGTGATTCCTTTCAGCTGTGAATATGACCCCCAGCATCTCGGGAGCACTCTTCCTTTTTCTCAGGGAGGCAGCATCATGGCCAAAGACAAAGAAAGCAGTAGACACTGAATCATATACACCACTTGCAGAGACTTATGCTTATCTTCTGTCTTCGTACTTAATGGCAAATACATTTTGCCCACATCAAAATTACTTGGCTGCTGTTCTAGTTAGAAAAACATAAGAGCAGCCTATAATATACTGCCTGTGGTTATTGCGATTGATTGGATGCAACGTGCCATCATTACTTACTTCTTGGAGGATGTTTTTCCAGCCTTGCTGTTGGCATCTTGCAAGATGTATGTAGCAGTGGCTGTTGCCAGGATTTTTGGATGTATGTTAGTGACTGGAGGCTCCGACTAGGCGTGTGTCTTCTTTGTGCTAGACACTGGCCAAACATGGCGAGACAGTCCTTGCAGAGAGGTTGTAGCCAAATTAGAAGAATAAAGGTTGAAATGAGGAGCACAGTATACTCAAGCAGCGAGGAGCACTTAGGCATAGGGTACCAAAGGACACGTTCAGGCTCATAGGAAGTTAACTTAAAAAACCTCTGAAAATCAAGCCCTGCTCTCCGAGGTCCCTGCCCACTTGCTTCACCTGCAACACTGATGAAATAGTATCTATTCTTATCTGAAGAGGAATAGTGGGTAAATTAGCAAAAGGTTCTAGGTGACATTTTCAGAAATGGTTCAGTTATTTGGAAACCTGCCACTCAATGAGAGCCAGAACCACCACGTGCCTAGCTCACATCTGAGAATGGCAGCTAGGCTTTTATCTCAAAAGTCCTTCTGAAAAATGCACTAATAACTAATACCTAAATATAATAGAGTAATTCTTTTATCTTTAATATTGAAGCACATATGTTTTGTTGCAAGTTTTACTAATAACATCATAGAATCTCTAGGCTCTTTTAAAGTCTAATATTGAATTTAATGACCTAGAACTAATAAGTTTTATTTACCATGCTGAAAAAAATCATCGTGTAGTAACTGAGGTAATTTATTTCAGTTTACCTTTAGTAATAATGCTCAGATCAACAATACTTGTATAACCCAAATGCCCCCAAGTCTAATCTGTGCAGTGTAAACCATTGCACTGTATTGATGAAAGCATTGGTGCA